AATCAGAAGGACAACTCTTATTTTCCTCCTAGAAGGTTCTTCGTTCTTATCTATTTGCTTTATGCTTTATTCAATTGTCACACTAAGCCAAATGGCACTAAGTAGTTATATAAATGTCATAATTCCATTAGCCTCTAAGAGTTTGCTGTCCTCTTCCAAGGTCTGCCAGTAATTATAGAAATTTTGGCTTCCACAATAACTTTCCATAAATTATTTTAATAAACTATTATTATAAACTACACTTCTAGCATCACTAAACTGTTAAGGACTCCTTCCTCATTGAGAATATATAAGCCAATCTCTTATTTCTTAAAGTGTTGATACTTATTGGTAAAGCAAACAAAACCATTTTTGTGGTCTGTAATGGTGAAATATTTGGGGAACTATACTTTCTCACTTTGCCCGTGTTTCTTCATGCATATTAAGGATGTCCACTGCTAAAAAGAGTTTCTTCCATGAGCAATATCATTATTGTCAGGTGTCATCGAAGCAGACACAGGCATCCACAGCACTGGGGCACATCTTACATATACATTTATAAGATCAAGAAGATGCTCAAGAAAAGAACTGATTCATAGATTAATGAATCTTAAACATGCTTATGGGCTTCAAATAACCATATTTTCCTTATTCTGGGCAGTCTCCTTCCTTAAGAAAAAAGGAGTCACTAAGTTTTTTTCCTATCTCAACTTGCCAAGTGAAAAACAATTCTCTTATTTATTTCTTCAGAAAACAAAATGGCTGATTTTTTAAAATTTTTGAGAATTATCGAAAACCAGTGACTGATTTACTATGATTAATGCAATATGAGGCTTACCAGCTCTGAACAGTTACCTATATATGATCACTGAGTCCTAAAACTCACATGTCCATCAGGCTAGGCAGGAATCCAAAATCTTTATACCTCTGGTATGGGAACAAGATAACTAGAAAAATATTCTTTCTTTCCCAGGGAAAACTTCTCAGAGCAGAAAAGTCTTTTTTTTTTTTTTTTAGAGACAGGGTTTCACCATGTTGGTCAGGGTGGTCTCGAACTCCTGACCTCAGGTGATCCACCAACCTCAGCCTCCCAAAGTGGGGGAATTACAGGCATGAGTCACCACGCCTGGCCGCAGAAAAGTCTTAAAGCAAATAATCCTTCTCCAGCCTGGGCAACACGTGAGATCTTGTCTCTATTTAAAATCTTTTAATTAAGCGGGCACATGTGGCATACATCTGTAGTCCCAGCTACTCAGGAGTCTGAGGTGGCAGGATCATCTGAGCCTAGAAGCTTACAGTGAGCTATGATCATGCCACTGCACTCCACACTAGGAGACGTAGCAAGAACATCTCTAAAATGAAGAAGAGGAAGAAGAAAAAAAAAAAACCCTTTCTTAGTCAGACCACCTCTAAAAAGAAGAGGAGGAAGAAGAAAAAAAAATCCTTTCTTATCAATCTTTCCCTACTGACTTTCCCTCATGTGTCTCTTTTATCTCATCCTATTTATTCAGTGCCCCCTGAGGCTGCCCAATTCTTCAGCTTAGCATAAATATGTGCCACTGATTCCATTAAAAGTCTAAGAAAAGTGGGTCGGGCACGGTGATTCACGCCTATACTCCTAGCACTTTGGGAGGACAAGGCGGGCAGATTGCCTGAGCTCAGGGGTTCAAGACCAAGCTGGACAACATGGTGAAACCCTGTCTCTACTAAAATAAAAAATAAAAAATTAGCTGGGCATGCCAGCGTGTGCCTGTAGTCCCAGCTACTCAGGAGGCTGAGGCAGGAGAATTGCTTGAACCTGGGAGAAAGAGGTTGCAGTCAGCTGAGATCACAGCACTGCACTCCAGCCTGTGCAATAGGGCGAGACTCTGTCTCTTTACAAAAAAACAAAGGAAGTATGAGAAAAGTGGCTTTAACTGTCTTCTAACCACTGTGTTTAAAAAAACTCCTCATCTTTATGCTTTCTAACCTTAATCTCCATTAAACATCACCCAACTTTGTGAGGGTAACGGGCAATCCAAGAACACAAGAACACCAATTCTTCCTAAGGCCTTGACTAATAACAAGCATCTATCTGTCCCAGCAGCATAAACTTAGAAAGATTTCTTCAATTCCTCACCCCTTTGATGGTACAATTCACCCAAGTGTAAAAGCTGGAATACAAACAGCATCCCTTTGTGAGATTAACAAGGTTCAAAACTACAAAGTACATACACATAAGAGAAATCCAGCGTCAGACAGCCATTAGTATTTAGGGCTTGAGAATTCTTTCTAATCAAACTCACGAAGCTCTTACCTCTGCTCTCATGCGTTTTGCTCGTCGGGCTGGGGGGCATGTTTCCGAGGGCTGCACAGACTGCCTCTGGGGAATATCATGGGGTTTGTACTCCTTGTCCTTGGTGTCTGTCGTCAGATTTGGCTTCTGCAAACACTGGAAATAACAACTGTACTGATTAATTCCCTCTTTTTTTAATCTTAGAGAGATTCAGTGGAATTTTGTAAGGTGTAGTTTACAACTATTTATGTAGATACATAACAAGCCTACAATTTTTAAAAATCTAAATAAAAATAAAGACAAGTCTGCAGTTACCAACCACATACATGCACATATACAGGTAAAAAAAAAGATTTTTAAAAATTTTAACAGGTGGTGTTGCTTTGACTTCTCATTGCTGATATCATCAGGTTACAACAGGACATAGCAGTCGCAAGGCATTCCCATTGAACCACTCGGAATTTTTTTGCTTGCAACTGTCAGGTCTAAATTGTTAGAAAGGCGCCTTATCAGCTCCCAGAACAGTTTTCCATATTAAAAATATCTCATTTTTAAAAAGTGTTTGGGATTAAAAAATAGGGAATCCAATATGTTTTCTAGATTTTACAATTGTATAGTAACTAGCAAAATTATCATCTAAAGATATCACCTGAATTGAAGAAACAGGTCTTTTGACTAAAGTATTCTTCCTCACTAGGGTTTCCATTTACTACAGTATATCCCTACAAAGTCCAACTCACAAGGCAAAGATCAACTGGTAGCCCAGAGTAATAACTTTGGTTCTGATCAGAAATGCATCTATTCTTGCTTTGGTTTTTCTTTTTAGTTTAATTCTAAGCTGGAGGACATTTAAGGCCAACATAACACTACCACAACAAACATATTGCCACTAAAGCCAATATGAATTTCAGTTAAATACTACTCTTTCATAAGATGACCCACAACATCATGAAAAACCTTTTTAAAAGCAAGTTCTAAAGTAACCCTCTGGGATGTGTTATAGCAGCTATATTTGGAAAGAAATACACGGAAATAATAACCTTCCTAAAGTACTGACACTATGGGCACCATTACTACCCTAAAATCTCACTAATAAGATTTGGCTCCTTTCTCCCTCACATTTGCAGAAATACAGACACTGGGGGAAGAACAACAGAAAGTACAAAGCAACAAAAGGATAAAGTTTATTTCTAATAGTTAAGAAATATGATATACTATCAAAAAATATTGACTCATTACTTGTTAACAAGTAATGAATATACCACTGGTAACAGCATCCTATAAATATTAAATATTCTGCTAATTCTACTTAAACCTACACTTTGATTTGATACAGAAAACTATTATATTCCTAACAGTTAAAACATTTACATTCTGAAAAAAGTTGGGTCAGGCGCAGTGGCTCATGCCTGTAATCCCAGCACTTTGGGAGGCTAAGGCAGGTAGATTACTTGAGGTCAGGAGTTTGAGACTAGCTTAGCCAAGCAACATGGTGAAATCAAAAAATACAAAAATTATCTGGGCGTAGTGGCACGTGCCATAATCACAGCTACTCTGGAGGCTGATGAAGGAGAACTGCTTGAAACTGGGAGGTGCAGGTTGCAGTGAACCAAGAATGTGTCAATGCACTTCAGCCTGGGTGACAGAGCAAGACTCTGTCTCGAAACAAAAACAAAACCAAAAAAACAAAAAAAGTTATGAGACAAATTAAATACCAATAACAGTTGAGAGAAACAAATATTTTATTTTTTAAAAAAATTAGTATAGAACATTGCCTTCTTTTCTGTAAAAAGTCCTCAATAGAGCATTTAGAGTATGTTTAATGAAATTATGCAGAGGGGAATAAAACCAGTCCATCATCTAAGTTAATCCCCTCTATGTATTCATTGTACTTTCTATTTGAGACACAAAAGTATGAGAGAAAATACTAATGGAGCTGAATCACATAAATTGTGTTAAGTGGCTGATCACAAATACAGATACTATATATGTGGTTCCTATCTCCCACTAGTTAGTCTCAATGTTTCCATCTCTGGTTTGCTTGGTTCTGTAAGGATTTTGGAGACCTAAGAAAATCACACCCTGTAGTTTTTTTTAGAAGAAATACGAAGAGCTTTAATATTTTGTTCTAAACCACAATTCAAAATACACAATATGTTAGTTTTATATCTAATGTTACTAATACACAGACATTAATTTTAACCTTTACTTGAGAAACTAGTCCTAGGCACAATCTAGGACTTAGAAGCGATTAATATCATCATCATGCCATAAACACATCATCCCACAAAGACAGGGCAATCCCTTAAGACACTCAGAAAACATGATGATGCAAGATTGAGGCCTCTGTTCCATTATAACAATGTAACAACTTTTCTTAAGCTTCCCCAAAAATAATTTTTTTTTTTGAGACAGAGCTCTGTCATCAAGCACCAGGTGGGACGGCTCACTGCAACCTCCGCCTCCTGGGTTCAAGAAATTCTCCTGCCTCACCCTCCTGAGTAGCTGGGACTACAGGCACACATCACCACGCCCAGCTAATTTTTTGTATTTTTAGTAGAGATGGGGTTTCACTATGTTGGCCAGAATGGTGTCGATCTCTTGACCTTGTGATTCGCCGGCCTTGGCCTCCCAAAGTGCTGGGATTACAGGCGTGAGCCACCACGCCCCGTCGCTTCCCAAAATTTAACTTACACTCCAGTTCACCCTTTTGCAGCAATTCCTTCACTGCACACCTCTGTTTTTCTTAACTATATGTTCTCCAATTCTTGCCCTACTAAGTATCTCAAAAACCAGAAACGGGTATAAAAATTTACATACAAAGAATGTTCATCGTAAGATTATAATACAAAACTAGAACCGACCTAAACATTCAACAACAGAAGAAATCAAAATAAAGTCCAGCTATAAAAAATGGATTGCCAGTCATTAGAAATCATGTTTTCAAAAAATATTCAATGCTATAGCACATGCTCATTATATGTTAAGTAAAAAAAACCCAAGATGCAATGATGTGTGTGAAAAGTACACTTCCAATTTGTGAATGTATGCATAAAAATAGCCCTAAGAGAAATAACAGGTAGAAGTATTGGGAGTCATTTTATTTTTGCCATACTTTCCTCTTGTGTTTTTAAACTTTCTACAATGAATGTGTATCACTTCCTAAAACATCCCTGGTACACAGTTAAGTCCCTCAACAAATATTTACCTATATTGTAGATGCAATGTTTATAAAACGGTACCTTTAAATACTTATTCCATTCAGACTCTTTGATTGTATAAATCCTTAAGTGCTTTTTAACTATAAAACTACATTGCCTTTTTAAGTATACAAGTGACACATTTCTAAAAGGTTACAACCCACAATGCAGCATTAAAGGGACTCTTTCTCTTTTCTCTGTAACTTCCTCTTGAACTTAGGAATGAGTTCAAGAAAAGAAAATTAATCTATTATGGGCAACTCTATCTAGACCTGACTATAAGAGGGAAAAAGGTTCCACATTCAATATTCTAAACAATTTCATCCGTGGGTCACTAAACATTCATACAATGTACTAAAAAAAAAAATTTAAAAATACAATTTTAAAAAGGTTTTGAATGTCAGATTAGCCACTTTCTTCTAGGCTAAAAAGAAAATTCACCTGGAATCAATAAGGGAGAGAGGGAAGAAAAAATCTGCCAGATTTAAGCATTACAGATGGTGTGTGTGTGTGTGTTGTGTGTGTGTGTGTGTGTGTGTGTACTATTAGGACAGGACTTTGATTAGGGATTTACCCCTCAGAAACTTTCTCTTCCTACCTCTCTATAGGATAGAAAACAATTCTTAAAATTATAGGGCTCATTGCTGTAAGTCCTAGAATAATTCAAAGGGTATGAATGGATAATGACATCCCTCTTCTTTCTACTAAGGCCTAGAAAGAAATGGACGTTTTTATAGGATTGTTTTATCTAAAAGTTTTTAAATGAATAATTTCACAAATACCATTTTTGTCAGGAAATGAACACGGCTACACAGGAACTACTGGAAGAAAACCATTAGCTATGTGACATTATAAAATCCCCTGTCTTTTATCAGTATCAACATTCTGAAAATCTCCTTAGAAATCTTAGCTGGAAAAGAGAATAGGTAGGCAAGTTATTTCATAGCTTATACCTTCATATGACAGCCAGAAGTACTTTAAATTCTTTAAATTTAAAGTGAATGCAAAGTTGTAACAAGTACATAATTAACTCCTTGTTGTAAAGAAAAAACACCTGTAGTAAAGTTGATACAGATTTCAGCTCCTGACAATAAAAAAAATTTCCTCCACAATCTTACTCATTCCAGAAACAAACTTCTAAGTATAGTGGCTCTCAAAACAGAATAAAAACACTGGAAAAAAAAAAAAAACACAAAACAAGGTCTTCATTTTTTTTTTGGAGACAAGAGTCTCAGAGTTGTGCTCTTTCTTTCGCCCAGGCTGGAGTAAAGTGACGTGATCTCAGCTCACTGCAACCTCCGCCTTCCAGGTTCAAGCGATTCTCCTGCCTCAGCCTATCAACTAGCTGGAATTACAGGCACCCACCACCATGCCCAGCTATTTTTTGTATTTTTAGTAGAGACAGGGTTTCTCCATGTTGGCCAGGCATATCTCGAACTCCTGACCTCAGGTCATCCACCCGCCTTGGCCTCCCAAAGTGCTGGGATTACAGGTATGAGCCACCATGCCCCGCCAAAAAAAGGTCTTCTAAAAGCAGGTCTTCCAAACACAATCAACGCCTTTTCATTTCCCTGGAAAGACAATGTACCAACAAGTGGTAAAATAAAACTAGTCTCCAAACTCACCCTTAAGCTGTCTCCGGACAGGAATAAGTTGTAGGGGTTGAGGATTCGTTCATAATGCCCTCTGATATGTGAGCCCACTGCTTTGCCAGGAGCAAACCCCATCTTGGTGGCAATTTTGGTCCATTTTCTATCCTTGCAAACAACTGCAAATCCACCTTCTTCTGCAACTAACTGTTAAAATAGCAAAATTAGAAACGACTATATGGAAGTCACTTCTAATCACACCTAAATATGACTCCAAGAGGAAAATATTCTTGGCTATGGTTACCTTTTAAAAAGGTGTTTTTGGTTGTAAAATCAGGATTAAAAAAAAAAAAAAATTTTGCCAGTCAATCACAAACACATACACATACACACACACACACACACACAAAATTAATTTTAAGCTAGAAAATTTAGACATCTCTCTTGACAACATGGTCCATAAACATGTTGTTCCCTCTAAGCTACTTCTCACATCCTCAAAGCAGTCATGTGGAAAGAACCACGTTACCTAAAACTAAATCTCTAACCAAAGAAAGGGCTGTAATACTTGGTCTTACTTTGGACTCTTAAATAAATCTCCAGATACTAAAGACTAGGATGCATGCCAGCATGTTTGATGGAAATAATGTAAATTTCAGAATTAAATGGGCCTGGCATTGAATTATGGCTCAGATTTTATTTATTTATTTATTTTTCCTGAGACAGTGTTTCACTCTTGTTGCCTAGGCTGAAGTACAATGGCGTGATCTCGGCTCACTACGACCTCTGCCTTGCCGGTTTAAGCAATTCCTCTGCCTCAGCCTTCTGAGTAGCTGGAATCACAGGCGTACACCACCATGCCTGGCTAATTTTGTATTTTTAGTAGAGACGGGGTTTCTTCATGTTGGTTAGGCTGGTCTCAAACTCCTAACCTCACGTGATCCACCCGCCTCTGCCTCCCAAAGTGCTGGGATTATAGGCATGAACCACCACGCCTGGCCATGGCTCAGCTTTTTTAGCTTTTTCTTTATCACCCTGAGCCTCGGTTTCCTTACCTGTAATAAAAAAGAAACAGTGTGCAGAATTTTTATAAAGTTCAAAAATGACAAAAACAGGTGGCAGCAAAATATTCCACAAGGCTTCAAGATGTGGGAAGCAGAACCTGACAATCCTCATCACTCAACTGACTTGAGAATCTCATTTCACACATCTCAAAAAACAAGTTTCTTTTCTTTTTTTTTTTCTTTTTTGAAACAGGGTCTCACTCAGTTACCCAGGCTGGAGTGCAGTGGTGCAATCACAGCTCACTGCAGCCTCCACTTCCTGGGCTCAAGTGATCTTGCCACCTTAGCCGCCTAAGAAGCTGGTACCACAGGCACATGCCAACATGCCTAGCTAATGTTTTTTGTCAAGACAGAGTTTCCCCACGTTTCCCAGGCTGGTCTCAAATTCCTGGGCTCAAGCAATCCTCCCATCTCAACCTCCCAAAGTGCTAAGATTACAGGCGCAAGCCACCTCGCTGAGCAGTAAGTTTGTTTTTAAGGCAAAGAAAGACCAAATTCATTCTGTCAGTAAGATTATTAAATGAGTAAGATGGTCATTAGTCCTTTACCTTATTAAGCTGAAATAAGTCCAAGATCTTCCTCTCCACATGTGGAATTTTCAGAGTACTTCCCTGTAACTCCCAGTACTTTGCAATCTGGTCCAAGAAATTCAATTTTACACGAGTCTGAGCCTAAAAGACAATGAATTGAGTTTTCATCTCATTTAGCTTATTTTAAAGTTCCTATTACCTGCCCATGTGATATTTTATTTCTTAGAATATTTAATTACAATACCATTTAAAAACTTTTTTAAATGTAATGCTTTCAGCAGAATCATACAATACCGCTTTCTAAATTCAATGAGAAACAGCCAAAAATACCCAAAATAAAGCTGGTTAAACAAGTATACATGGTCAGCCAGGTGCGATGGCTCATGCCTGTAATCCCAGCACTTTGGGAGGCCGATGGGGGCAGATCACCTGAGGTCGGGAGGTTGAGACCAGCCTGGCCAACATGGTGAAACTCCCTATCTACTAAAAATACAAAACTCAGCTGGGTGTGGTGGGGTGCACCTGTAATCCCAGCTACTCAGGAGGCTGAGGCTGGAGAATCCCTTGAACCCAGGAGGCAGAGGCTGCAGTGAGCCAAGATCACGCCACTGCACTCCAGCCTGGACAAGAGAGCAAGACTCCATCTCAAAAAATGATAATGAGGTCAAGAGTTGAAGACCAGCCTAGGCAAAACGGTGAAACCCCATCCCTACTAAAAATACCAAAATTAGCCAGGTTTGGTGGCACACACTTGTAATCCCAGCTACTTGGGAGACTGAGGCAGGAAAATCACTTGAACCCAAGAGGCAGAGGTTGCAGTGAGCCAGGATTGTAGAGCTGCACTCCAGCCTGGTGACAGAGTGAGACTCCGTATCAAAAAAAAATTAAAATTTTAGTTGACTTAAATTTGATTCAGTCCCTACCACATGACAGACGTGGAGTTAAACACTCAGTAGTATACCTTGCTGCAACGTAAGTAGGCACTCTGAAAGCAGCTGAAGTAGTACTATAAGCACAATTCCCTATTATTGTTTAAAATTATATGGCAAGTAAACAAGCTTTTATATGCCCAGCTTTGGAAGTCAGAGGCAGGAGGACCGAATGAGCCCAGGAGTTTCACCAGCCCAGGCAACATAGGGAGACCTATCCCTACAAAAAAAATACAATTGTGTGTGTGTGTATCTTCACATATTTAAATATATATATTTACCCTGTATAATATATATTGTGTATATATATTATATATATATATTATATATTATATATATATATATATTAATATATAATATATATACAGGGTCTTGCTCTGTTGCCTAGGCTGGAGTGCCAAGTACAGTGGCACAACTATGGCTCTATCGTCTTGACCTCCCAGTCTGAAGCAATCCACCCACCTCAGCTTCCTGAGTAGCTGGAACTACAGGCACATGCCACCACACCTGGCTAATTTTTTAAATTATTATTTGGTAGAAACAGGGTCTTGCTATGTTGCCCAGGCCAATCCTCCTGCCTCAGCCTCCCAAAGTGCTGAGATTACAAGTGTGAGCCACCATGCCTAGCCAATTCAATATTTTAAAGATCTGTTCTCTATTCAAAGAAATTTTCTTATTTACTCAAATATAAATCTAAAAACAGATTTATATTGGTGATTCTATAACAGTTTTAATACATCCTAATAATTTCAAAGAGGGTCCCCCTGGAATACAGGAAGACAGAACACTTACCTCCAATTCATTCAGTCTCTGGATACGTGGCGTAAAATGAAGTTTATCAACATCACATGCAAATGGTGGCTGCCAATCCTAGCAGAAAGCAAAGGCTCTTATTAGAATAACTTATAAGTATTTTACATTTTAAAATTTGTTTTAAAATTAAAACCCAAGTTAGGTAAATCTGATTCTAACCAATCAAACAAAATAGAACACAGAGTAGCAGTTTCTCAATCTTTTGTCCATGAAAACAACAAAATATGTATGAACACCCTTTCCCAAATAAATGATATATCACACATACACCTCACCCCACAAACCTTCCCACTGGGCAATGTCACTGAGACTGTTTAAAAAAAAAACACACTAATTTAGGCAAAAGGCACTTTGACTTCTGTATTACCACAGAAGTATCTCATTTTTTATTTAACAGCTGTATTATCTATAATTTTAAAAAATACATTTAACTTTCCAATCACATTAACTTTTTAAATTTTTTTTTCTTTGGGACAGGGTCTCACTCTGTTGTCCAGGCTTAAGTACAGTGGCGCAATCACAGCTCGTGGCAACCTCTGCCTCCTGAGCTCAAGCCATCTTCCACCTCAGCCTCCCGAGTATCTGGGACCACAGATGAACACCACCACACTCATCTAATTTTTAAAGGTTTTTTATTAGAGATGAGGCCTAGGTTCATGTATGGCCCAAACAAGTCTTGAACTGTAAGGGCTCAAGTGATTCTGCCACCTTAGCCTGCCACAAAGTGCTGAGATTACAGGTGTGAGCCACCGAGCCTGACCCACATTAACTTTTATTATAAAATTGAGGGTAAATTCGTCAGTGGTGTCGGGGAGAAAAACTGACATCCAAATCCAATTTTAAAAATCGTCCTTGGCCAGGTTCGGTGTGTCACACCTATAGTCCCAGCATTTTGGAAGGCCGAGGTGGGTGATCACCCGAGGTCAGGAGTTTAAGACCAGCCTGACAAATACGGTGAAACTCCATCTCTACTAAAAACACAAAAATTAGCCAGGTGTGGTGTTGGGCGCCTATTGTCCCAGTACTCAGGAGGCTGAGACAAGAGAATCGCTTGAACCTGGGAGGCAGAGGTTGCAGTGAGCCAAGAATGCACCATTGCACTTGAGCCTGGGCAACAGATCAAGACTCTGTCTCAAAAAAAACAACAACATCTTTAATATGTGTACCCATATAGACAACTGTTCTCTAGACAATTTTTCTATCATGGAAGAACTGCTATCATATATATATATATATATATATAAAATGAATTGTTACCTATAAAGAGAGAAAACTGGAAATGAATGTCCACAACAAGGTATAAAAATTGCATGTTAATAGATTTTCAGTCTGGGATGATGAAAGGGTCCGGAGGTGAACAATGGTGATGGTTGTACAACAATGTAAATGTAACCAATGTCACTGAACTGTACCCTTAAAAATGTTTACAATGGCAAAAATTAAATGTTATGTATGTTTTAGTATAATTCAATGAAAAAAGCAAAAAAGGAAAAGTGTACCCTGTAGTATAGATTTCTATTAATGTGGGGAGATTCCCCCTATATATGTTTTTTTTTTTTTTTTTTTTTTTTTTTTTTTTT